AAAAACAAGGCAACATCGTATATATATATATATATATATATATATATATATATATATTCCGAGTGGTACATCAAAACATACCTCTCAGTATACTCGTACCGTACCATACCAAGCTGAGCTCGATACTTCGGTACGGTACAAAATTACGAATCTTGATCTTAAAAACTCTTCTTTTTACAAATTCTTCTTCTATTCATATTCCATCTTTCTCATGAATGTATTGGTGGCAGAATTCATGTATAAGAGGAAGACTAATAAAATCATTTGCAACATAACCTTATGCTTTTAATCATGGTTACACCAAAATAAACTTGATAGCTGGTCATCCATTTGGGTGTGAATGTGTTACTAATTCTGCTACTATGCTTCATTGAAGGTTATACAGAGAAATTTTCATTTCCAACCCTTTTTTTTTATTTTATGATTATATCCTTCCTTACTGACAGATAAATCTGCACTTTGCCATTAGCATGCTATACAAAGACTTACCTAACTTTGAGTTAAAATAAGCAAGCAAGTCATTGACAAAAAAAAAAACCCTTTAAGCTAATTACTCCATTGACAACCAGGGTAACCTTCCTAGCTTTATATTAAAAAATACATATTATTAGATAATAGTGGCAAAGATCCCTTGGCAAGTACGTGGCTGTCTCTTCCAATAAAACAAAAGTAATGTGTTTATGTTTGAGAACAAACACCCAAGGGAGGAGAACGAGATAAAGAAGAAAGAGGAGAAAACAAGGGTTGGACATCATTTTAAATCCATTCCATTTAATTGGTGGTTCAATATCTCTTTCTCTTTGAATCAAGCTCGGTTTAAGTTAATCCCCAGTGAGGAGGAAGAGATGGTGGGATGGAAGATGTGAAGGGAAGAGAGGAGGAAGAGTTGAAGAGGGAGTAGGAAATAAAATTTTGTGCATGATTGAGGTGCCTATACTTCCGAAATTAGCAGAGAGTTACTCTGGTTACATTCAAATGGAGTACTTGAGAGATACATGCTCAAGAATTCATTGAACTTAGATCCATGTTTAGACTCTCAACATTGATAGGATGAACATTAACTATCATTGGCTAGACATGGGCAATGTATCTTTGACTGCATCAACTTCTTGAATGTGTGAGATATCTCACGCCCAATGGTTTAGTTAGTCATCACTTATAGTTACTTAAGCTATATTGACATTGCTAACTGAGGTACATGCTTCATGAAGCATCTCACTTCCTTTATGTCAATGTATTAGAAGGCTAGAAGCTGTTTCTTTTCCATTTATACATTTCTTCATTTGATTGGACATGGATATAGGTTGTTTTGTTGATTACTCCTAGTCCATTCAGTGTTAAGTTCAATGAAAAATGTTCCACCATATAATTTATGTGGATTGTGGAGAATAAATGTTGTCCTTTTTCTATTATGGTTTTCAAGTGATACTTTTTATTCAAATCTTAGAAATCTTACATCTGCTCTCTTTTTGAAGCAACACAGGAACATTTCACAATGCCAATGTTGTATATATGTAGCCTTTTGTGCCCCATGAAGCACGGGTTCTTCCAAACTGTTGCCATCTCCTTATTGTATCCATGCTGGACACCAAAACATAATTGACACTTCTTGGCATGTATTAGAGAGTTCATATGTATTATAACTGAAGTACCATCTACATTTATTTATATTACTGTACTGTATATATGTTCAACACTTGAGTCATCCATTTAAGGCTCCAAAACATGTGGGATTGTTGGTGGATTTATGTCTTTTGAAAATTTGAACCTTTTAGTTTCTTCTCTGATGACATGTATGTTTCTAGGATTGTTGTAGACATTTGCTTCTTATGGTTCATGCTTCTTGTAAGCAAGGATTTTAATTTCAAATGATACCGCCCGTACAGGGCGGTACGTACCGGTTTGCCAACAGACCGGCACGCGGACCGCCCACTATCAAGCGGTACCGTCAATTGGGGCTGTTTTCGTCCCGTTACCACTCGAAATCGGTCAGTAATGGTCGATTTCGACCATCGCCACCCGTTACCAGACGGTATTAGTCGAGGGAGAAGGAAGAAGAAGGAGAAGAAAAGGGAGAACCTAGAGATCTGACATCACTCTCCCTTGATGATCCCAATCCATCGCCACCCTCCCTCGTTGGACATCACAGATAAGATGTTGTCGCCTCCTTGTCTTAGGCGATGAGGCCTCGGCGTCGTCAGCGATTTCTCCTCATCCGCGCGGAGAGAAGAAGCCTCGACGACGTTGCCTCGTTTCTTCTCTTTACGTGGGGAGAAGAAATCGACGAGGCCTCGATGTCGTTGGTGACCTCTCCTCATCCGCGCAGGGAGAAGAAGTCGTCGAGGCTTCACGGGGAGAAGAAACGAGGCAACGTCGCCCTTTTTTTTGTTTTTTAACTATATATATATATATATATATATATATATATATATATATATATATATATATCGATTGGTATGCTAGAGCGTACCGCTCGGTACGCTTATACCATACTGAGCTATGCTCAAAGTGCCGGTACGGTACAAAATTACGAACCTTGTTTTTAAGTTTTATATATGATGATAATAGATAGTCTATAATGTACAAAGTTACAATGACATAAGAATGTATACATGTATTAGTTGCTGTATTGTGCTATATTTTACAAGGCATGTTGGCACATTCATATTGTGTTGGGCCCATGATCCTTGTCTATGTCTATATGAAATTGTTATGGTAGTTCTTGCAATATACAAATGAAAGATGAACGTCCTACTGTGGCACTCATAATCATGATGACTTGTCTATCACTGGCATGATAAAAGTATTTATTCTTCACTTGAAAACTATGAGACTCCAAAGTTTTTCTTTTTTTGGAGAATAACCAATAACTTGTCACATAAATAATCTATCTCCAAAGGAAGGGGATCTTCTGATACTTAGTTTATGCTTGCACAATATAGTAAAGCCCATATGCATGCCTGGTTCTGTATATATGGGTGGTGCTACAAGGTAGATACCCATTTACAGGTAGCACTGCAGCACATCACTTGTGGCATAACATGCACTGGCAAATCTTAAAGTTTGCAAATATCAATAAAGTTCCGATCTGAAGTTTTACCTGGAAATTTCTTTCAGACTCTTCCTTCTAAAGGTCTGACGTGAGATCACAATCTTTCTGCAACTAAGTTAATTGTGCTAGTAGTGAAGTTATGTTCTTATTACTGTTAGTGTTTCCATTAGATTCCAATAGGAATTTGTGTGGGTTGAGATGAACGGCATTATGTATATTATTTCAATATTAGTACTCAAATGCTAATTAAGAGTTGATCAGTTTGAGTCACAGTCTTTATCTTCTATATACTTGCAAGAATTGATATATTATGTGTGAAACCCCCACCAGTCTTCTGAATGGGATTATGGTATGGATAGCATATCTAGTATCATTTTGTATGACTTTTGCTCAAATTAAATTTGTTTGATTGATAAATAGATGTTTTGTTTGGTTTTTTTGTGATTCTGATTAGTAACATGTCACCTATGATATCTTTAAAAATGTGTCATTGCTGAAAACTATCATGGTTATAGAATAATGCTTGATGAGCATATCATTGATAAAAGACAATGGTTGATGAATTAGTTAGTCAAGAAGACAATCAAAACATTTGAACTTGATTAAACAAGTACATGACTGTAGATCAATGTTTCAACCCAAAATTCAATTGTCTAATGAAGAAAATAAAAAAGAAAACAACTCTGCTAGGGTTTGTATTAACCAAAATTCAAGTGCCAAACTTGTATTAACCAATATACTGCGATCCACTTTGGGATGGAGTACATCGCTGCTAGGGGTTTATATTTGCTTATTTGCTTATGCTCATGAACATTTACTCCAGTCTTTCTATTCTTTGTTTCCTTAAAGATTTTTTTTCTCAAAACAATTTAACTGATTGCTTGTTCTTGGACAGGATATTTTGCACTGTCATGACTGGTCTAGTGCTCCTGTAGCTTGGTTATTCAAGGAACACTATGCTCATTATGGGCTGAGTAATGCTCGAGTTATCTTCACAATTCATAATCTTGAGTTTGGGGTGCACAACATTGGCAGAGCAATGGCATATGCTGACAAGGCTACAACTGTCAGTATCTAGTTCTTGCTTCAATATTTTTAAGTCTTTGCAGTAGTCATTGTTTTTCTATAATTGACAAATTCTTCTCAAAAGGACCTTTGGTTATTTGATATCCAGTTTCCTTTTCGGTGGTAAAATCAGAAATGTTCTTGTTGTTTCTTTTTTTGATATTTAATGGATTTCTCTAATTTTTTTACAGGCAACTTAGCCGCATTCTTTTACAGCAATGTGATAGTTTTGCAATTTATCCATGCTTGTTTGATTTTTTGAATGAGTTCAATGACAAATTGTTGATCTTTTTTTAAATCTTTTGTTAATTTGGAATTGTAAACAATGTATTTTGGGTATAGTTTACAATTGAGAAGTCGCATCCAGGCGTAAATTGTTGATGTGTGGCAGAAAACCACACATATTAAATATGTTTGGTAAGTTTAGTTCCTCCTTTGGACAGATTAGGAATGCAAAACCACAGAATGAAAGAAACAACTTCAGGAGAAATGTATTGAAACAAATGACTGGACCTCCCAAGATCAGGCTTGCATACAATGTTGTTAGATCTTAGATGGTTTTAGTGGCTATTAATTGGTGTTTGGATTTTTGGACCTATCCATATAGAGCCTTGTAATTTCCATGAGACTTTGGCCCATTATAACTTCCTATGTAATAGCTCCTATATCACCTCCCAATTGTGCGATTATTGCTTATATAATTAGCCACATCGATTAGACAGGCATTGTAGTCTGGGCAGAGTCCCTCATGGTTTGTCTCAGGTCTTGTCTCTCTGCCTAGAAATTATCACTTCAATGCTCTTCCTGTTCTTCTAATTTTCTACTTCTATGTGTTTGTTTCTTTGGCATTATTTAAGAAGCTAGTAATATCTTCAGTTAACCCAAATCAAATTTGAGTCTTCTAATGACAGATTATCACTTGTTGTGGTGATATTTGATTAAGTATGAGAATGAGGATGGATGGGGAAAGAAAATAGAAGTGGTTTCTGAGGAGCTTTTTTGTCATGGTTCAACAATGTGCCATAGTACAAACTCTTCATTAGTGAGGCCACACATGGTAAAGATAATAGTGATTGGTCAAAATGTGCAAATAGCCAAATAATTCTATGTTTTCTTTTGCATGTGTGTGTTAATGTATAGTATGTATTTGTATCAAGGTTTGCAATACCGAATGATACCGCTCGTATCGAGCGGTACGTATCGATCCATTAGCAGATCAGTACACGGATCGTCTGCTACCGAGCGGTACCGTCGATTGAGGCCGTTATCATCGACGGTGATCGAGGGAGAAGAAAGAAGAGGGAGAAGGGGAAGAAAGAAATGGGAAAAAAAAAGGAGAACCTGAGATTGGCGCCACTCTCCTCCTCGTCTGTCAGCGACTTCTCATTTGCACGCGGAGAGAAGAGTCATCGGCGTCGTAGGGCGAAGAGAGACGACACCTCAACGAATTATTTATTTATTTATATATATATAAAAAGGCGACGTTGCCGAGGTGATGTTGCAGATATTTTCTTTTTCTTCTCTTCTTGGGTGACATCGCTGCGTGGGGAGAAGACAGATTTTTTTTTCTGCGACGTCACTCCGCATGGGGA